ATGATCCACCCATGCACCTTGTTAACTCTATAATATCAAGGAGCTCTCCTGCCATTTCAATTAAACAATCATAACTAGAGGGTACGCTAGGTATGTGCAGCTAAAAATAGTCCAAATGCTCCTCAATTTATGATGGAGTTAAGTCCCAACAGGCCCAATATAAGATAAAAATATGATGAGTCAAAAATGCATCTAAAACATACTCTACTGAACATCGTAACTTTGTCACACAGCACCCTGACTTTGCTGCCCTCATGGCATCACAGCTGCCTGGGGCTGAGATTCATCACTGCTGCCCACCATTGCTGGAGAGTATCATGTCACATATTGTTATCCTGGAAAAAGACAAAAATTCAACCTCTACCAAGCTACTAAGGAGGCTGAGGTAAACAATCTCTTGAGTCTAAGAGTTCAAGGTAAAAACAGGAAACAGTTAAACCCCCCATTTACCAAAAAAGAAAAAACAACAAAGTAAAATTTCTACTGAACATGTTTTTGAACCACTGTAAATTCAAAAAATTATAAGTGGAATCGTAATAATTTGGGTACTGTCTGTTCTGGATATTTAAGAAAAAGGAGACTCAGAAATGTTTGAAACCTATATAAAGTGTGGTAGATTTTGACTATGATTTAAAGTTGTTTGTTTGTTGCCTATTGGTTTTTGAGTCTGAGTCATAACTTCTCTAAAAGTTTTCCTTTCATTTTCTGGAACTTCTGTTTATAAGTATGTAAAAATTGAATGATAATTTCATATGCTTCATTCCAAGTGCCTATGTATTCACAAAACTGCCCAATATAGGGGACCTGAAATTTTTAGAAATCCTATGTTATTTATTGAATTATCTTTCATTTGTTGAATATGGATGGAGAGCCTGTATCAGGAGGAGGAACTGTTGTAGGTCCTGGGGGTAAAGCAGGGAACAGAGGAAAACGAATGCCCACACCAATGGAGCTCACCATGGGGAGGGGATTTCTCAATAAGCAATCAGATGAAGCTTTGGTTATCACTTTACATCCACAACCATAAGTAACTTGAAACTGTTACAGAGATTTCCACAATACAATAGAAAACATTTAATATAGATAAGGATAAACTAAAATCAGGGAATAGCAATAATATGATAACTTTGGGGAATTTTTTTAAAATCCAGAGAAAACAGCCTACAAAGCAAATGGAACAATTCAAAGATAAAATAAAGTGCAATTGGTGTGGAGTAAGATGAAAAACTGGAGTAAATTAAAAATAATTTTTTAAAAAAATCACCTTTATAGCACTAATTTTTAAAATCCAGGGTTATATGGAAAGCCTTTAAAATTTTGGATGCTTGGATCCAATTCAGATCTTCTCAATTACAATTCATGAGGAAGCTAAACATGAGCAGTTTAAACAATCTTCAGAAGGAGAAGTGGTTCTGACCTGCACTTGAAGCCCACTCGTTGGATGGCAGGACTTCCCAGATGGTGAGTGAGCAGGAAGGCAAACCTTGGCAAACCCTGACAAAACTAAACCTGGAAAGCACTGTCCCAAATCACCTGGTAGTTAACCAGTCAAGCAACAACTGGAGATGTTTTTATTCACAAAACACTGCTTCAAGAGGGGCCAGAGCAGGCAGCGCCTGAGGGATCTCTCCCACTGCTGCTGGCTCCCAGCTCTACTCAGTCCAGCTCCATGGGGTGGGGCTGATGCTGGAAAGCAGCAATTTCCCTGCCCTGGGGACCTGACCTAATTTGAAGTGGAAAGTGGAAAAGGCCACTCCTGAGCACTGTCAGAAGCATTAGCAGCCTGGGTGACAAATAATGCAGACAGCCAATTCTGCATCTAGCCTGGGGAAACAGTTTCAACTTGCCTGTTCTCCAGAACAGTGGGTAGCATGAAATTCAAAAGGGAAATCATGGAAAGCTGAGAGCCACTAAACTCCCACACATCACTGGGTGGCGTGGGCCACCTGAAAGCACTTGGAAATACAGTAAAAGGCAGGGCAGGCTTGAATACTGCTGACCCTGAGTATGATTCCAACTCATCCACAGACATCAGCAAAGGCTGGAAACCATTTTGGTAGTCACTTGAGAACAGTAAGTATCCCATCACTGACTGGGTACAGGCTCCTCTGACAGAAGGATGGCACTAGGAAACCAGGCTTGAACATAAAAGGAGGAACAAAACTGTACATGCAGGACATGATTAAAAACACAATTTTTTAAAAATGAGAAAGTTATAATGTAGTTCTGAAAGCAGAAAGGAGAAGAAAGCACTCCTCTGTGGACTTTTCTTAGTCTCTGCAACCCCTGTGTAACCTTACTCTGAGTGAGACACCTTGATGTCGGGTACAATCGTGACAGTGATGAAGAAGGTTGAAATAAGAGCTTGCATTCCACTCATAGAGGTAGAGTGTGCTCTTGAAGCCTCAGGCTTCCAGACGACCCCTCTGATTTTGCAAACAGTGTTGAATTTCTACAAGTACATGCTTTTTAAAAACATACGACCTCTATTTTAACTGATAAGTTTGAAATAGTTAAACACATTACCAAATATTTTCGAGCGATACTAATTCATTCCGTTTAGTATTAAATAACATTAAAGCATAACTGGAAGAATATGCCACTGTGCACATGCTATGTGATCTGCACCCAAACACTCTAGGGCTCAGTTTCATTATTTATAAGGTAAAAATTTTAAGGTGACTCCTTGAGCTCAGATTCCGCAATTATTTGTAGGGCATTCAATAATACACACTAACATTACAAATGTTCATATGAAACCAATCCAGTTTACTTGAATGAATGCAATCTTCCCATAAATAGCACAGCATTTGTAAACACATACATATTTTAAAAGTGCTATTTAAATAGGTAAAACATTACATTTGAAACTGTACTTACAAGAGTTGCCAGAACCCTTTAATATATGGTTTTGAAATCAAACCTATGTCACAATATATTCACAAACATAAGAATATAAAAGTCATGAATCACCTAGATTTTATCATAATTGGAAGATTAGAATGCTAACTTTATGAAACCTGGTATTTTTTATTCATCAACTATTAACGTACTACGTAAGATTGTTGTAATCATTATATATACATCAATTCAGGTAACCCTAAAGACACTCCTAGGAAGTGACTACTATTGTCATGATTGTTTTATAGGTGAGGGAACTGAGGCACCAAGGTGACTAACTTGTCTAAGGGACAAAGATGCAATAAATGCTTAATTTCTTCATGGCTAACATGACAAACTGAGCTCTCCTGGCTGAGAATTCCTCATTCTTACCTATGTTGCTATGCTGCCCCAGTATATGAACTTATAAGTTTCTATTGTCAGGCAAAGGGACATGAAGGCACTTATTTTTTAAAAATCATCTAATTTTCTTGAAATACATACACACATACCCAGAGACAAACCTGCACACTCTCACGTAAACTTTATACAAAACAGAAGGATAAATTTGACAAATTTGAAATTTATCAAAAAAAGAAGAAAAAAGTATTACCAGACTAGTGGGAATGCAGAAGGCATTAGTGTTTTTAGATTAAATTTCCAATGGCTCACTTTTTAACAGTTCCAAGACAAACACCCATAAATGATATGTTGTGAGCAAACGTGTTGAATACACAATGCTATTTCTGAATGACTTTATCCAATACCAAAATACGTGATTTTGTGGCTTAACATGTGCCTGACAGATACATCTTGTATTTACTTGTTTGGAGGACTACCTTCTAATTTAAAGGGAGCTTCTGCAGTTTAAATAAACAGGGAACAACCGCACCCTTCAGGTAATTTGTGAGTTAAATTATTTTAGTTCTGTGATCACCCTAGCCTACAGTATTGTATGCTCTTCATATCCTCCCCAGCACCTTTGTTCCTTTCTATTTGTATTCTTTTTCTGCACTTTAGATTTTGTACTTAGATTCAGAATTGTTCCTATTAGTGCTGAGAGATGATTTTTGAATTTTTTTTTCTGCCAACCAAATGTGCTTAATATGGCTGAGATGTTCATGCCAGCCCTCTAAAATGTCCTTATTCACTTATCAAAAAAATTACGACAGAACTCCACTGCACAATGAAAACGCCAAGAGACATGAAATGGTGTAAAATAGAGGACTTCAGACACTGCTCATTATTGGAGAAACATGCAGGCATAGAACAAGCACAGGCAAGTATCAAGGTCTCTGCTGAAAGCCCGCTGCCCTGGAAAGAAAAGGGGAAGCTAGCACCATGCTGGATGAGCAGCAGCCCCTATAGGCACACACTGTACAGTCTTCTCCAGAGCCTGCCTGCTTCACACTTCCTGGTGTGCTTCTGAGCTACTCTTCGCAGCAAAGAGACAATTCACTTAACTTTTAAATTAACATGTGTCCTTGCTGATAGACATTGTGAAGAAGGCACTTTTCCCTTTCCATTACAGTGTAGTCCTGAGATTTAATTACCGTGGAAATGAATCAAGACATATGACTTGGGGCACACCATCTTAAATGACGGCTATAACAATATTAATTCTCCATTTTAAAGTATCAGTGCTACTTTATCTTTACGATGAGTAATGAGAAAATAATGTTAGGAAGGAAGTTACCCACTTAGAGACTATGCAGGTCACAGGAAGAGGACATTAGCTGTAATTTGGAAAGGCTTTGTTTGGATATTGACTTAGCTTGATTTTTCACATTCTCATAATCACTTATATGTCAAGAAAATATGCACACCAAGTGTTATATATGAAATGTTCAGAGCCTTTTAACTTTAGCTAGTGAGCTAATGAGTAAGCTAATGAAATATGCCTTCCATGTACATTATTAAGTGCATGCGTGGCCATGTTCCCTTTTATTACCTAAAATGAGCAGGGGAAATACTAAAAGTTATTTTATCTCTCATGCCATGAGCTATAAACCATGGAAATTCAGTGAAGGTACTAAATATTTAGTCCTCCAGTAAGATTTAAAAAAAAAAAAATCTCAAAATGACCTCGACATAAAAGAGACCTTAAGGTAGTGGGATACCTTCTCATACAGTCCAGCGCTCGGATGAAGAAGTCCTTGTGCAGCTGGTGCTCGTCCCTTAAGATTGAGCACTGCTCCAGCGTCACTGACATGGACGTCCTGTCTTTGGCACTTTTACAGCAGGTGAAACGAATACCATTTAGTTTGCGACAAATCTGTGAGACAGAGAGGAAAATAGTTTATTGTTTACGTGTGAATTACTCATTACTCATGCATCAGCTTCATCTAAATACTTCCAGTGTAAGCACGCCAACTACGACTTTGGGTTTAGATTCATTCATGAAAGTCAATTGGTTCTAGCTGCACTGTAAAATGTAACAAAGTTCACCATTTCCTTCCAAAAGCCAGACAGACTTAATTTATTTAGCACTTTGTATGTGAGGTATGGAATTGTTGAATTCACAGGAGATGGGAAACAGCCTGCAAAAATGTCAGTGGTGCTCCAGGGAGAGAATGATCCTTGTAGTAGATCACTGTAGTGATGACGACAATCACAGCTTACTGGTAGGAGCAATAACTTCATGAAGAAAAGGGAAAGCCCTATATTGTCTGGATTAGACACGCTGACTCTTAACTAGCTCATGTGATGACATTTTACTTTTGAGAAATCTGTTGTAGACTTGGCTTCATGTTATAATATTTTAAGCGTGGACATGGTATAAGATGAGAAAATTATTTGACAATATGAGAGTACTATAAATGGCCACCATTCTTTATACATCTATCGTGTGCCAGGCACAGCACTATGAAATTTTATGCAGATTCGCTCTTCTAACAAAGTTCACATGAACCCTACAGGAAGGTATAATTATTTCTGTTATGTAGATGAGGGACCTGAGGTTCAGATAGTTTAAGTAACTTGCATATGACAGAGCAGAATCAGAGTATAAGTATGGTATAGCTATAATCAAAGACCAAGTTTTTAAATTCTGTTATGTTCAGCTTCCTTCTACACAATTCTTTCTTTGTTATTCCAATTTAAGTCAGAGAAGACTCTTAAATTAAATTAAATTTTAAGTCAGAGAAGCAATATTCTCTTGTCTTATTGCCTCATGGTTAGTAGGTCAATCATTCCATTCCTTTTCCTTCTAGCCTAGAATAGGTTTCTGATATGAGATACTACAACCACCTGCAGCGTCCACAATGCTAAACAATGTGCATTTAAAGTAAATTAAATGTGATACAACTACTTTATTATCAGCCATCAAGGAGGCTTTAAAAGTTGCCTGCTTTCAAAAGATGATATAGTTTTTATCAAGGGTTTTTACCATATTTTAATTGTGAGTATGATACTTACACTAGGATTTATATGCCCCTATTAATTTAAACTTTCAGTATTTTCTAATCCCAATAAAAACGACTATAGAAATATGTGGGTACTGTTTCACTACATAATCTTTTTTTCATTTAGAAAATCCTAATCCTTTCAAATATACAGTAATTCACATACTTAAAACCTTGACTACATCCACAGTGATAAAATAGACCTTAAAGTCTGCTTTTTGAGATATGATTATAAAAAAGAATTCATGTGCTCTAAAATATATTCTTATCGTTCTATGTACCTTTCCTACTTAGGATATTTAGTGTTCCAAATTTAAAGAAAAGTGAAGGTGGGAGCAATTTCATCAGAATAGACAATTGGGGGGGTGGTCTTGAGTCCTGTATTTCTACAACTCTAGGACTGTACAAGTTTGACTTAGCATATTTGATTCTGGCTTCTTTATATTCTCATTTGCATCATTTAAATTAAATTAAGATAAAACCAAATAGCTTTATATGTTTCAATTTGAATGTAAAATACTAACACTAGCAATATTTCATTAAATAAGATTTAAAGAAAAGAGGAAAAAAGACAAATAAAAACTTGTTGAAAAATGTCAAGACAAATTTGTATATTTCTTCATTTTGAGAGTATTGTTTAGTTCCTTTGCTTACAAATTTTGAAACTGAGATATTAGCCTACAGAAATAGATAACTGATAATAATTGATAATCTTATTCCATTTTAAGTTGTGTAGAAGTCATATATGATTAGTATATACATTCAAAAAATATTTTAGAAATATATGGGATTTATGGGAAATTTTATATTCAGCCAAATGCAAAAACAAATCTAATAGAAAATATATATTAGTGTTAGCTTGTGTGAATCCTTAATTATTTACATAACTTCACAATATGTACATAGTTACACACGTATTTCCAAGTTGTTAGAAGGCCTTAGCAAATGATCAAACTACCTTAATGTTATCCTTTCATTAGTAAAATAGAAAAATAACTTATAGGGGCCGGGGATTTAGCTCAGTGGTTTCACTGCCTGCTGCGCAAGCACAAGGACCCGAGTTTGATCCCCAGTACCAAAAAAAAAAAAAAAAGAAAGAAAAAATAACTTATGATCTACCATGTGAGAATTACCAACCATAGTAATCTTTGAGGACACAAAAAAACAGCCACAATGGGGAAGAACTCTTACAAGCGGCATAAGGCATGATGGTGCTAACTGGGACCAGTGTAAATGAACTGCCTGAACATAGCGCTTCACAGTCTTACATTTGATCCTTTTCCTCAGGACTCCATGAAGGCAGCAGGGAAACTAAAGCAGCTTTTGTTTGCCTTGCTCATGCTAAATTATTTAAAATAATCTCATGGTAAAATATTTTTTTTCCTTTTTCCCAGAGGAGAATAAGTAATATTGGATTATAATTGAGCCACTGCCAGTCAAGAAAAGTCTGTTTTAGATGCTACTGATAGAGAAAAAATAAGACTATACTAGGAGCTTCGTTAACTTGAAGTCCAAATTATAAAAGTAACACCACAAAAACCACACATATGGCATACATCATAGATCTCTCCAGTGTGCCTTCCCCAATGAAAGGATGCTTTCCTGAAGATCTTTGGGTCTGAAGTTTTAATAAAATTCATAAATTTCATAAGTTATGCCTCACAGTTGTCAGAAATAGCTTAAAAAATGATTCTCTCCCTCTCTACAGAAATCCACAGTGGGAAAAGAGACAGATCTTCCACCCTAAGGGTTCCTTTAAGTGAGAGAGAACCATTCAAAATACAGCTCATTACCCCAAGATCAATCCATCAGTAATAAATTCTATGCCAATATCCAAATTAACAAACACATTTACAAGCTCATTAACTCAACAATATGTCCAGGAGCCTCACTGAAGGTGTGAGTCAGAGATCTGAAAACCACATTCTGTGGAAACCATGTGTCTCTAGAGCTGCAGATCAGAATTCTGGTTGACACAGAAACCTGATAGGGAGACCTGCAGTGCCAAGAAAATCACAGACCTTTCATCTTAACCTCAGACTGATAAATAATCCCAGGTAGGTAACAGTAATCAAGGAGCAGGATTCTTTCTTGCTGAGTGTCTCTTTCTCTTCTGTGTGCTCTCGCCTACTGTTAGGACTACCAATAAGAGTGACAATGCCTCATCCCCTGGGTAATGGGGGTGACATCAATAACCCAAGTGTAGAGGCTGGACACTTCCTAGTAGATAACCGATAGTACACGCTGTGATAGAAAATGAGATTTGACATGAGTGCTCACCGTTGCGGCCAGCCACATGATTTCTACGTTCTTTCTTTTTTTGGCTTGGATATTTTGGTGAAGATTTTCTAGTAATCCTTTTAAATCATTTTGTTCTTGAAAACGTGAAATGTCTGAAGGTGGGGGTAGGAAGGAGGAAAAAAAATGAACAGTGTTAGCATTAGGCTACCCATGGAGCTTTCTTCAATATATTTGCAAATGCAACTTTCAAAACAACACATTTGGAGTAGAGAGTATCTAGGATAGTATCAACCCTTCCAGTTTTATTCTTTATTTGGAAATATGCAGCAGTTTACCTCATTCCTTGATCTATATCCTATGTTCTATTTCTTCTTCTATATCAATGTCAATTGATCATAAAATATTTTTTATGAAGAAAACATTTTTAGTGAAGATGATGGCTGCTGTCTCACTTTTACTTCAGCATAAGACAGAGATGTCATGGGACATAACCTTTTTCTTTTTACCACCAAGTAGCTAGTTTAAATCAAAAGAACATATTAAATTGAACATCTCAGGGCCAAGAGAAATCGGAAAGTTCAATTTCAAAACACAAAGTCAGTTTCCACGCAGCAAGTTTCCTTAACCCTGGCATCACTGATTTTAAATGACATAGTATTTTGCTGGGGAGGCAGGAGAGTGTCCATTATAGGATGTTGAGCAGCATAGTCATGCTCTACCACTTACGGGAGAAAAGCATCCCCTCCACTGTGGCAATGAAAATATATACCTGTACATTTTCAAATGTTCTTTGATAAAAAACAAATTCATCCTGGATGAGAACCACTGCTATAAAGGAACACAAGTATGACAGAAAGAAAGAAACCACGGGAGGCAATAGCTAATGATATAATCAGGTAGGAACTAGGAAACAGCACTGGTTGTCCAGATCCCTACATACAAATAACTAAACAATGCATAATAAATGGCATACATTTTATACTAAAAACTTAGACTCTGTGCAGTTATGACACACATCTCCCTAAGACTTGGTAAGGTGGGTTTCAAGATTAGAAACACAGTGATATAAAAAGAAAGGCTTTTGAGAAGAGTGCTGGATTAGTAATTTATTGTACAAAAAGGTACATTTGAATTCATAAAGAGGTAGAAGAATTTCTGAGAGATTTGACTGAGGTTAAAAACAAAGTACAAGGCACATGAGAATCACGACCATATATAGTTTATCCAGGTACATTGAAGGAATAGGTTATATAATTTTGATTCAAGTCACACACAAAAAGCCACAAATTTGTTTCAATACCAAGGAGACCTTGTATTTTCTGAATCTGTATCACAATTCATTAGTGAACATATTTGAATAGTTTTTGATATCAGCTACGTAGAATAGAGAGAACTGTACTAGCAGTGTATATCTTTTGTAGAAGTGGTTGGTAAAGTGGAAATGTTCATTGAAAGCAATCATAGATCATCTTGGATTTCTCCAGTACAGAATAGAGGAAAGTCATGTATAACTGAAGCATAAAGCCTTTGTTAGGGAGATGGGATTCAAAATATTCATGTAAAATTTATGCATGATTCTACTATATTAGTTCCAAAAAAGTATGTCTTTCAAAGGTCAAATCTTAACTATGTAACAGATGCTTCTCATAAGAAATAGAAAGTCTCACTTAAAATCATCACTTCTCTGAAGTAAGTGACTCTGATACACAGGAATTTTAACAGGACATAGCCCAAAGACAAAGGAAAGTAGGCTTTTATGAGTTATACAGCCAGCCCAGAATTCTGCAGCTAATCAAAGAAGGTAAGGACAATAATAGCACTTTTAAATTTATACTCATGGCAGGTGAGGAATAAAGAAGTCAGGTCCACAAATACTTCGTTTAATCTTGATAGATGGTAACCAAAACAAACCTAGAGTAACCCATAAATTAGAATTATAAGGAGCCATTAAAATTATGTACAAGCATATCATTGGCATAGAAAGAGTCTTTGACATTGTTGAAAGGGGAAATTGGTCAGGTTACTGAATTAATTTACTCATGCAACATTGTGTGAGTGTGTGTGCCATGTGTGTGTCTGTGTGTGTTCACCTATTCCTGTGTGACCTCTTTCTGTAAGTGTAAATAGACAGAGTAAGACATTTGGATTAGGTCACTGCTAGGTTTTGGGATTTAATGTAAATTTTACTTGTCTTTTTATATCACTTAAAATGGATGTGTAGCTTAAAATATAAAATCCTTGTAAGAGCAATAGAGAACATAATATGTGCATGAGTAAAGAAAACCCTTAATTTCCTATGACATAAAGACCTTCAAAATATCTTTAGACTAGTAAGGTGGGCAGATATTTAAGCCACTGTTAAATGCAGGAAATTGTGTTGTGGCTATGACATAGGTGAAGATGTCAGGCTCCAGGGGAGAGGTGGGCAATTCCAGAATAGCTGGGTGTGTAAGGGTGAGTGGCAAAGGCAATGCACTGTGGCTTCTGCAAACATTAGAACCCAGGGGAAAATAGCAGCAAAGACTTTGTGTGGACATCAGAGACCTAAACTACAGGCCTCAAAGAGAATGATGAGACCCTGACCTCTCCTCTCTCTCTTTTGCCTCCAAGCAGCCAAGTAATGGTTTTTTCCACCATGTATCCTCCACCCCACCCCTGCTGCCTCACCACAGGCACAAAACGACAGGGTCAACTGATCAGGGACCGGAAAGTCCAAGAGTGTGAACTGAAAAATAAGGTGATTATCTCAGGTCATTATTTTGTTATAATAAAGCGAAACAAATCCAATGTTTAAGGCTTCTTTTCCCATATAGCTCATGGTGAGAGGAAGAGGCAAGTCTGAGGCTAACTCTCCCAACCCCTACATCACTAATTTCTTCCAAATCCATGTTGCTGTTTTCACAATTAGTTGGTGACACTACAGACAGCTACTATTAACAAAACAGACTGACTTCTTCTGAACACTGGGACTCCAGAACACAGCAAAATATTTATCAGAATAACTTAATTCCATTTTGACAGGCAAATTCTTTAATAAAGCTATCTGAAGACAGACTATCAGGCTACTAAAAATGAATCAAATAAATGGCCATCCTTGGTTCACTCTCATCACACAGACAGTGCTTCACTAAAGACGCATGTGATGTCTTAGACATTTCTTTCCCTCTCCGTGACATATTTCTTAGAAGGAAGTCATTTTAATATTCTTCAAATTTTCAGTATACTGTTTCTATTTCTATAATGACAAAGCTTGTTTTACTCAGAACACATGGCTGTCAACCCAACGTTTTGGTTGTTGCCAATTTTTTTCAACCTGGCAAAAATCCTGTAAACCACAGAAATCCAAATCTGGCTCATGAAAGGAGCATAATTAGTAATGACTGACTTGAAAGTAGGTGAGTTTTTCAAATGTAATGATCAACTCCTGAGGCAGCATGGCCAGTTGGTCTAAGACTCCAACATGTAATGCTGGACACAATGGCGGAAAGATGCAATGATAGATATAGTTGATGGGTCAATTGAAAATCAAGGCATATATAGAGTAGGGTATGGTTTTAGATTTTCATCATATCTTCTCAAATGTACATATGGCTAATAGGCTCTATTTTTTGACACTCATTTCTGCATTACTCCAACACTGAATTTACTGCAATTGAATCTCCATACAAAATTCTGTAAGTGTATTCTTTTGTTTTTTTTCAGAGTGCAAGAAAGCCACAAGAGGTGAAAACTATAGGAAGGTTCATTGCATTTTTGTATATATTGAGTAGCAAAAAAATCACATATAAATGTTCATAAAGGAAATGGACAAACTGCTATATTCATTTAATGTAATATATTGTAATAGGTAAAATGAATAATCACAGGTCACACACATCAACATAGGTATATCACAAAAAACATGTTGAAAAAAAGTAAAAATTACAGTAGAAAATTTCCTATAAGATAATAGTAATAATATAGTTGATGTACAAAATCATCATATTTTTAAACATCAAGTAGAAGACGTTAATTTTTTCAGAGGAGGGCAGGCATGGAGTAGGAAGCTAGAGCTTTTCTGTATCTGTAAATATTTATTTCTTACAAAAATTCTGAGGCTGGGAAATAGATTCTCAAATGTTTGTTATTTATGACTTGTTATTTTTTGTTTGAAACTTTCATAATTCTTCTAAAAGAATACACTAAGCCAATATTCTGGGAACATAATTTCTAAGGCCAACTCTACCCTGCTTTGATGTGTGTGCTTGGCCAAGTTGCTTAACCCTTTCTCCCTATTTCCTCAACTGCAAACTGAGGACAGTAGTCCTGTCATGCTTCATGGACATGTAGTATAAAACAATTAATAAAGTCATTGCAGAAGAGGTTACATTATTAAATTTTGTGTCAATTCTGAAAAATAGGGAGGTGTTGCTCTTAAGAATGAGTTTATAGAGGTCCCATTTGACCTAGCTATTCCTCTGCTGATTATCTTCTCAAAAGAAGTAAAAGAATCATATCACAGCAATATATGCACACCCATGGTGACAGTGGCACAGTTGGTAATAGCTAAAGCTTGGAAACAGTCCAGTTGCCCATCAACTGGAGACTGGAAGAAGAGGATATGGTTCTTTTTTTTATAAAAAGGAGTGTTACTCACCATAAAGAATGAGAAACTAGAGACATTTATAGCTAAATGGATGTACATTGAGGCCATGCCCTTAAGTGAAATAAATAGGACACACATGTGTAAATACCAAACTGTTTCTCTGGTGTGAGAAACTGAAAGTGTAAATAAGGATCAAAATGTATAATTGGTAATGTGAAATAGGTAGAAAAGGTCTAAAGGGGTAGGGGAAATGGGAGGGGAAAGGGAAAGGAAAGAAGGGAAAAGAAAAAATATGAGAAAAGGAAAAAATGGAAACAAAGTCTTTGTAAAGAGGGAGGGGTGGAGGGGTTGAAGGGAGGGCAGGGGAATGAAGAAAAAATAAGAACCAAGATATATCATGTAAAGGTACAAGTTCCCAGTGATGAATGAATGTCATCATATTGTATACCTAAAATGTACCAAAAAACTTAATGAAAAAAAAAAAAAAAGAATGAGTTTATAGCATCATGTAAAGGTACAAGTTCCCAGTGATGAATGTAACTGTATCGTATACCTAAAATGTACCAA